TATACTCAATACTGGACCAGTTGTACGATACTGGTCCAATTGTATAGCCAATACTGGACCAGTTGTATATCCAATGTTGGTCCGACTGTACACCCAATACTGGTACAGTTAAATAACCAATATCGGCCCATCAGTTATTGCCAGAGTCGGATCAGTACTGGCAATTAAGCACGGCATGGCGTTACACTTCTGTGTTAAATCTGTACTGGCACAATACTGGCGGCCAGTACCGCCACAACGGCAAACTGTACAGTCCCAATATTGGGTTGATTTAATATTTCTACGTGGGTATCTATCGCTGGAACTGTGTTAGAAAATGATGTAACTGCAACCGATAATACTCAGAATAATCTTCGGGATATTGTCTCTTTTATGAGTAATTCATTTTCTGAAAATGCAACAGAGTTCAAAAGGATGCAATTGATGGAAAAGGCAGGATTGTACGTTGCCCCAAGAAAAGTATTTATTCGCCAAAGAATCGATGACATAGCTATTGGTAGTACAATTGTGAGAGTGCCGGTTGAAGTCACCATAACGTTTGTACCTTTACGGATATTGTTCAAAACTATTTTCAGTTTGCCGAGAATTTTTTAAATGGCATATACGTACATGCACCAGCAAAATCATGATCATATAGTTGACGATATAATTCACACCTCTTCTTGGAGAATTAAACAGCGTGAATTCTTTTCATATAAATTCGTAATTCCTTAATATATTTACTATGATGAATTTGAATGCAATAATCCTCTCGGTTCTCATACTGGAATTCACAAAATGGGTGCAGTTTATAAGTCTTCGGTGTTTTCCGTTAGAATTTCAATCTCGATTGAGTAGCATTTTTTTAGCATTACTTGCTCATTACCAAGACATTGCATCCGAAGGAAACGAAATTTTTCGTGTTTTAGTTCAGGAACTAATATTTCTAGAATCAGAAGGGATCGTTGTTGATCGAGGTAATGGAATATCGCAAAAAAATATACTTTTCATTGGCCATGATACTTGGTGATAATGCTGGCTTGATTTCTATTCTTGGTTATTCGAGTTGTTCGAGTAATTATTTCTGTCGTATCTGCAAGGGACATAAACACGATTTACTGGCATGTAACGTGCATGGAGAAAATGAACATTTGCTACGTACCTTAGAAAATTATAATGACGATCTTACAATTGGCAACTATAGATTAACCGGAATAAGAGAAAACTCGATCTTCAATGAAATCCCGTCATTTCACGTCGTTAATAATAACGCTGTCGACATAATGCACGATTTACTCGAAGGAGTGTGTAAATATGACATGACTCTAATAATAACTTATTACACGACAGTTCGCATGATATCTTTAGAGACCATAAATTTTTGTATTCAGTCTTTTGATTATGGATATATTGAATTCGGTAATAAGCCTCCACCCAGGTGAGAAATGACGACTGAGACAGGCCCGAGTCAATGCAGTTTTAGTACTGAGTAAAAGTGGTACAGCACTGGATGTCAGTGCAGATCCAGTGCTGTTTGTACACTGGAGTAGTAACAATGTTCCAGTATAGTTTTTCAGCACTGTACCAATGCTTAATTCCAATGCTGTATCTGCACCAATTTTCTGTACGGGAACGGCATTTAATGACAATAGTGTGACACTGTCATTTACCATTGTTTCCCCACAGTAATTTGGAAGGAAATAGTACATAAATAAAAAATATTTTATTGAATTAATATTTGTTTCCTTTATTATATTTTTCGGAGATATCAGATTTTTACTTAATCTGCATAATGTTAAGCATTTATAAAACTATGAAATACAAACAAAAATTATTTCTTATTTCTTTGTATAACATTTTTAAAATTAAACACAAAAAAACAATGTTTTTATCACATTTGGCATTTGGTAAAGTTGCACTGAGTTTTTGGGCTTGGAAATCAGCTCAGCCTTGCAGTCTTATTTTTTCTCTCCAAGTAACCACCCTCTCTATCAGGTGCTCCAGACAACCATCTACTCGTCACCGAAATGACTTTCATCACTGATTCACGTCCTGCATATTTTTCCTCCAGAAAATCTGTAACATAAAATAGTTCTGATTTTTTTGAATGATCTTAAACCAGTTAGTTATCTCACAACCAAATTATAAGCAAATTAAACATACCATTCATACACTTGTATGTGAATGTGTCGCAGAATTTTCGTTTTCCTTGACTTTTAATAACCTTGCCTGCGGCGCTGTAATTCAGCTGCACAGCCTTTGTAATCATTCTTCCCAAAATGATTTTAATAGCTTCTTCGTAGCTCAATGATCCTTCTGTAATGTTTTTATAAAATTGTTTCTGTAATTTGAAAAAGAAGAACAACATTTAGAAAAATACATATATACATCCAAACGTGTATTGATTTAAACAATAATAAATACAATTGAAAATACAGTGATATTTACCAGTGCAGCTTGTTTTTCCTGCACTTTCTGGCGCTGACCTTCATCTTCCACCCCAATTAAATGCAGACTTTTCTCGAATTTTAAAAACTCCTCGAGGTCTCGTATAGGCAATTCAACTCCCAATGTCGCTTTTGGGGACGTATTTTGTTGTCCAGCGTTATCGCTTTCACCTCGCAAAAAAATTAAATGAGTTTTCTTCTCCAAATCATATTGCAAACTACGTTTAACACTTTGCAAATTACTCAGGATGACCTCACTAGCGGCGTCAATATAGTTAGCAATAAAGCCTGTAAAATAAATACATATCCGATAAGCTTTGATTCTTTATTAGACTTTTTTTAGACGTGTTGCACTGTCCAAGATGATGGAGACATTTAAAAAAAATTGATGTACATATGAAAGACTACATACAGTACTAATTAAAAGAATGTCTCGTTGGTTATTGTTGATTTACTTATTTATTTATATACTTTATTTATACATTTTTAAAAAGAATTTTTCATAAAAATAATAAAAGTGCAAAGGCAAAATAATACCCTGCAGATGATGGCTTGTAAGACAGAGGCGTTGATACGTTAACAAATAGTTAAAATTTATCCACGGAATAAATACAAAAACATATTAGATAAGATCGATTAAAATTGTAACGACACCCTCAACTCTTCCCGGTTCTGGTTTCCGGACTGGACTCCGGCGGGTATTATTTATTACGCGAATAAATACAGAAGTTAGTCGGACGCGCGGTTCCGACTAACGGTTGGAAGAGTTGGCGTTCTCGCGGTCGGTGTTTGATGTGCTGCGTGTCGGTAAAAGGAATCCTCCGTTCCTCCTATGTGCCGAATATGCTCAGCTCCAGGGCCGTCGGGAGGAAAGGAGGAAAAGATCTTAATTCGCTCAGTGAGGTAATCGCTTGGAAGGATCGGGAATAAATCGTACAAGTATCTGATTTGGTAGAAAACGATAGGAGCGTGTTTATTCAAGAATTGATACACGGAATCGAGGTACTTACAATGGGTCCGCCCTGTGATCAAATATAATGGAAAGGAAAGGATTAGTATTACAATGGGTCCGCCCTGTGATAAAATACAAAGGAAAAGACAAGGATTAGTCGGATTATAATATATGGAAAATACACAAGTAGATCGGAATACGGAAAAATAATACGCAGTAATCAGGATTTTACGGAAAGTACGGAATTAGATCGGAATACGGAAAATAATACGCAATAATCAGAATTTTACACTAAGGTACGAACGCTGGAAATAGTCAGGAAGGATGACCGTACGGGATCCTTAGGTCTGCAAGGGAAGACAAGTAACGGCATTACTTTTACGATGCTTAATACTAGAACCAATGAGAAATAATTTTCCCACCCGAATATTCCCCCCTGAGTTCTACACCGGTCAGGAATCAGGAAAGGAATCAGGTTAGGTCAGGAACACGCCCGAGCAGCGCCTCGGTATGCGTGAATTTGTCAGTAGTAATTGTACACCGAGGAGCACCCCGTTAGGTGTACGCTACTGCGGAAGTACTCCGCCCCCGCGAAACACGGCGGTACCCGCTATTACGGGGGGAACGGAGTCAGGACGGATACAGGAGACCGGTACGGGAAATTTGTAGCATGTGTACGCCGAGGAGCACCCCGTTAAGGCCATTCTACAATTGCGTAAACGTAGTTGTAGGGTTGTAGGAGTAGAAATAGTAGTAAGTGTTGTACATCAAAGTAATATACAATAGAGTGAGATACGTCGTAATTGAAATGAATGATTAGTTAGCTTTTACGTCCTGTATCGTTGTAGTCGTGGAAGATCAAGTTCAGCCATCTTTTACAACAGGCTTTACAATCGGAAATGCTAGTTTAAAACTGTGTTTTACAACACTGTACAGCCGCTAACAACCACGTTTACGCAATTGTAGAATAGCCTTTAGGTGTACGCTACTGCGGGACGGGGCCCACGACGGAGTAGCGCCTCCGTTGTGTGCTCCGGTACGGTATATAGCCGAAGACAGGAGCACCCATTCACTTCGGCTTATACCTGCAGTGGAGGTACCCACTGCCCGGTGTTGTCGCTCGGAGCTCCGAGGCAAAACTGAGTTAAAGCGCCTGCTCTGGAGGGGCTTTTATACCCCTCGGATGCAGGCGCGCGGGGAGATACGGCGGGGGCAGGCGCGGCGTTGCCGGCCGCCGCCGACGCGGCAACCGCGCGTTATCGATTTTCCCGTGCGCAGCTGGTCGTGCTGTCTCTTTCTAACTGCCGCGCCTCCCCTGTCGCCTACGTTACAAAATAATGAAATTAGATTACCTTTTAAATCCGAATCAATTCCCTCACGCAACTCTTGAATACGGTCACTTGCCAATTGTTGATTGGTTCTTCTGAAACTTCCTGAAATAATAAAATAACAAGTAAAATAATACAAATATGATATATAGCATTCGAGAGTATAAAATTTAAAAATCATAACTTACTGCTATCAGTTGTGTTCCGGATTCAAACAGTAATTCTCTGTTCTCAAGCGTTATGTATTGGCAAAGAGAGAACTACCGTGACAGTGGAATCTCGTTAGTTCTCCCAAATAAACCTCGCGATCTAAACAGTTTTGACCATGAGATGTTTTCGCAGTCAAACTCGCCGTTATTGGTAAACGCTCTCACATTATTTCGAATTTGTCCGCCAATTCGGAAAGAGCAGGCGTCTATTCTCCGAAAAGGGGGGATTTCTCTTCGTGAGGATTCCGCGCGACGACACGGGATCTCTGGTCAGAACACGAGTAATTGGCTTGAAGATAGAACGTGTTACCCGGTCTCGGTTACCGCTTTATACTGTACGATCAACGTCGTTCGATGTACCGTCACTCAATAAATAATTGAAGGTGCACGAATACTCAACGGACTTTTAAACTCCTGTCACGGCGAGCCTTCTGATAAGGCTGTATCAGCCTCCGTGGAAGAATCGCGTTTTCGCCGTGCCAACGGCGGAAAACTGACGAGCGACGAATTCACACAAGTTGTCTTCTTTTGAATCGGCCTTTCATCACTTAAAGGCTCTTCTTCTAGCCTTTCAGATATCGTTCGAAGTAACGTTTTTTTTTTCAACAATTTACTCGCAGCACTGTTGCTTAGGATTTCCGGTTCATAAGATTTAACTGCATCACCGTCCGTAGAATCGATCTTCGCATTACGCTTCAATGCTCGGTTCAATCTGCGCATACCTTGATCATGATCCTCTGAAAAATAATTGTACACATTATCAAAATAAACACAATTAAATGCAATAAATTATTACATACTTGCGGTAGAAACTATTTCCACTTCGTATGCCGGCCACTTCTCATCAGCAGATATTACATTTTTAATGCACTTTTGTACGTCATCTACTGCACCATCCATAGGCCACCTGCATCTTCATTTATTATCCGCAATACTGATCAACCAGACTGAAGGTACAAGTTCCAATATCATATGCCCTTCTTTATCATATTCTTTCTCAAATTTTACCACTACGAAGTCTCGAGTCAGTTTATTAATATCGGCTAGTTCCGACATCTTAAAATAATTTTTAAAAATTATTAAGATTTTACATTGAGAGTTTTTAAATATTAATATATAAGAATTTATTAATTATTAAAGATCTTATTGATAATTTATGAAGTAATAATGGTATTT